TTCTTCTATCTGACTACGTTGAGTCTGTAGAGATTCATTCATGAGAACGTTCCTGTTATGTCGGATGAAACTCTGCCTGAAGAACGATTCTTGGTAACAGAAGCATGGACACATTCTGATTTTTTGTGTAAAAATTATATTCTGAGTGGCCTGCAGGATGATCTGTACAATGTGTACAGTAATGTGAAAACCTCAAAAGAACTCTGGGATGCTTTAGAAAAGAAGTACAAAACAGAGGATGCCGGAATGAAGAAGTTTATTATGGCAATGTTTCTGGACTATAAGATGATAGACAGTAAGACCGTCGTCACCCAAGTTCAAGAATTGCAGGTCATAATCCATGATCTCCTTGCTGAAGGTATAAATTTATTTAATACCTATGTTGGAAAAATTAAGTTTATTCTTAATACTCACATAATCTTTGATATAGGATTGGTTGTGAATGATGCTTTTCAAGTGGCTGCCATTATAGAGAAGTTACCTCCATTGTGGAAGGACTTCAAAAACTACTTGAAACATAAACGCAAGGAGATGACTGTTGAAGATCTCATGGTAAGGCTGAGAATTGAAGAGGATAACAAGGCCGCAGAAAAGAGGTCGCGTGGTAATTCAGCAATATCAGGAGTAAATATTGTTGAAGAAGATCCCACAAAATCAAAGAAAAGAAAGAAAACATCTGGTCCAAAGAGCAATCCTCCTAAGAAGAAATTCAATGGAAGCTGCTTCAACTGTGGCAAACGTGGTCATAAGGCTACTGAATGCAAGGGTCCCAAGAAGGACAAGAAGAAGGATCAAGCAAATTTGGCTGAATCCAAATGAGAGATAGACGATCTTTGTGCAATGCTTTCAGAATGCAACTTGGTTGGAAATCCAAGAGCATGGTGGATAGATTCTGGTGCCTCATACCATGTTTGTGCCAACAAAGAATTTTAACATCATATACTCCAGCACCTACAGACGAGAAGTTGTTTATGGCAAATTCCGCTGTTGCAAAGGTGGAAGGAACTGGCAAGATCCTCCTAAAGATGACATCAGGCAAGGTGGTGACTTTGAACAAGGTATCGTATGTTCCGGAATTGCGAAAGAACCTAGTTTCTATACCAGTTCTGACTAAGAATGGATTCAAATGTGTATTTGTTTCTGATAAAGTTGTAGTAAGTAAGAATGAGATGTATGTAGGAAAAGGTTACCTCACTGAGGGCCTTTTTAAACTCAATGTAATTGCAGTTGATATGAATAAAGATCCTGCTTCTTCTTACTTGCTTGAGTCTAAATGTTTATGGCATGAACGTTTGGGACACGTTAATAACAAAACCTTGCGAAAACTGATTAACTTAAATGTTTTGCCTAAATTTGAGTGCAATAAATCAAAATGTCAAGTTTGCGTTGAATCTAAGTATGCTAAGCATCCTTATAAATCTGTTGCAAGGAACTCATATCCCTTAGAACTGATTCACACTGACATTTGTGACATGAAGTCAACACCAACACGTGGTGGGAAAAAGTATTTCATAACTTTTATTGACGATTGCACTAGATATTGTTATGTCTATTTGCTAAATGGTAAGGATGAAGCAATAGATGCATTTAGGCAATATAAAACTGAAGTTGAAAATCAGTTAGATAGAAAGATCAAAATGATCAGAAGTGATAGAGGTGGAGAATATGAATCTCCATTTGCAGAAATATGTTTGGAAAATGGAATAATCCATCAAACTACTGCTCCTTACTCTCCACAATCTAATGGAATTGCAGAAAGGAAAAACCGAACTTTAAAGGAAATGATGAATGCCTTACTTATAAGTTCAGGTTTACCACAAAACTTGTGGGGGGAGGCTATCCTTACAGCAAATCCAAATACTCAATAGAGTGCCTCATACGAAGACACATGTTATTCCATATGAGAAATGGAAAGGTAGAAAACCCAACTTGAAATATTTCAAAGTGTGGGGGTGTCTTGCCAAAGTCCAGGTTCCTATGCCTAAGAGGGTGAAAATAGGGCCTAAGACTGTGGATTGTGTATTCATTGGATATGCCACAAATAGTAAGGCACGTCGATTTTTGGTTCATAAGTCCGGACATCCGGATATTCATGATAATACGGTAATGGAATCAGATAATGCTGAATTTTTTGAACATATCTATCCGTATAAAACTAGACTTGAGTCATCTAGTGGAGGGTCTAAACAACCTCGAGAAGAACCAAAAGAGAATGAAACCAATGAAGAGAGTCCAAGGCGCAGTAAACGTCAAAGGACAGCTACTTCATTTGGATCTGATTTTGTAACATTCCTTCTTGAAAGTGAGCCTCAAACATTCAAAGAAGCGATGTTGTCTAGCGACTCAACCTCTTGGAAGGAGGCTGTCAATAGTGAGATTGAATCAATCTTAAGCAATCATACCTGGGAGTTGGTTGATCTTCCTCCAGGGAACAAACCCTTGGGTTCAAAATGGATCTTCAAAAAGAAGATGAAAGATGATGGAACTATTGACAAATATAAAGCAAGACTTGTTGTCAAAGGCTTTAGACA